AATGTGTTGACTCTTACTTTGCCCTTTATTTATTGTTATTTATTTTATATAGGAAGAATCCTTCAATTTGTTAAATGTTTAATAACTGTTCTCTGCGATCTATGATAAATCTAGAAAAACAAACAAATAGTAATAAGAGCTCTCTCAACTATTGGTTTCTAAACGTAGCTAATATGTAATTAACCTTAGCGTTAGATAATTTAAAAATTGCGCAGTATCTAACTTAGATTCTGCGCAATTTTTGTGCATCAATTGTAGCTTATTTGAAAAGAATGTTTAATCCCTCTTTCTCTTTCTCTCTGTATGTAGATGACTTTTTTATCCTGCGATTTTTGAGAGTCTGTAAATTTAATCTCGAGAAAACTAAAATCAGGATAAGAAACTATTATAAGCAGCGATCCGACTTACCGGAATGGTATACAAATATAGATCCATTTCGACCAGAACTGCAGGAGCTACTTGATTTGGGGTAACAATCATTATTATTGATTATAAAAATGTAAAAGTTTATAGAATAAAAATTTATGAGGTTTTACAATAAATTTCTTTACGCATGCGAAAACTAGGTCGATATATCGAAGCGTTTGATCTGACTTAATCTAAATGTACAGTACCGGTTAAAATTACATCACCTTTCGATTTTTTGAACACAATTTTTGTCAAAGTGAATCAAAAGCACTCAAATTTATACACTTTTTGATAGTTGGTGACAATTGTACCTTGTAATGTATAATGAACTTTGATAATTATATCCTATGATTTTTTAATTTTGTACTTATTTTCCCAAAGTCGCATTATTGTATACTTTCTTTACTTTTTATGATACAGCTACAGTTTTTATCATCATGATCTAACTTTAGTAGTTAGATTTAGTGTTTTAGATTATGACAAATACTTGTGATGCTCAAGATATAGATGAACGGCAATAGAAAGTCATCGTAAAGAGCTACAAATAAGGATAGTCGTACATAAAAAGCTCGCTCAGCCAATTTGGCATCTTCAAATCAACAGACCAAGTTTCTTAAGCGTTGAAAGCGAAGTTATGTTAAGAAAAAGAAGAGTAGCCGACCACATTACACTATTTTTCTCATTGATCGCAACATCCTTCGCATATCCCGCAGCAACCCACACCGTACAGCACCGAACATTGCTGAAGAAATATCGACTTTTGATAGTTTAATCCATCTGTGCATATTATATCCCGTAACCTGCAGGCCGGAAAATTGTGCGAACTACGATTCGTGAAGGAACCATTCATTTCCGCAAAGAATTGGAAAACGCGAGTGGAATGGATCAAAGCACACTTCAACTAGACAACTCAGCAATGATCTGACATCTTCTGAAACGACAAATCAATGTTATACCATCATTATCAAACAACATGAACTTATTATGTTGCGATCGATGATAAAAGTGTAATCGGCCATTCTTCTTCTTCTTAACATCTTTTGTCATAATGTAAAACACTAAATCTAACTACTAAAGTTAGATCATGACGGTAAAAGCTGCAGCTGCATCACAAAAAATAAAGAAAGTACAATAATGCGACTTTGGAAAAATTAGTAAAAAATTAAAAAATTATAGCATATAATTATCAAATTTCATTATACTTTACGTACAAGGTACTGTCAAATGTCAACTATATAAATTTGAGCGCATTTGATTTACTTGACAAAAGTTATGCTCAAAAAATCGAAAGGTGATATAATTTTGGCTGGTACTGTATATACATTCTCTCTTCTGTTATTCTGATTCAAGAAATAATGCATCTTAGATTATTTGATTTAAAATATTGTAGTTCATCGAAATCTTATAAATTTCCGCTCAATAATTGTAATCGTCAATTTCTTCTATAAAAATAAGATCGCAACATTGTCGTTCTTAATTACTTCATTGATTAAAGTTAATTATGTTAATTTATATTAATTGTTGTAAGTTAAGAATTTTATTAGTAATATCAATTGATAGTAATGAGAACCGATAGACTGTAAGTTATTCTTGATTTTTTTACTCTTATCTGTCTCTTATATATAGTTCTGAAATTACGTCCACTAATCACGTGCTATCCCTAATAAAAAACTGAGTTAAAAAGTCCTTTATCATTTTGCAATTTTCGCAATAGTTAACGAGACATTAACCCTTATCCTGCTAGGTACAATTTGGCCTCATCCATATTAACGGGAGCACTAGAATCCGTCTATTTTTTCACCTATTCAGATTTTTAAAAAATTTAAAAATTCACTAACATACTTTCAACTTTCTAGAATAAATATTGGCACTGCATTTTGGAAAATAATTAAATGTAGTATAATTTATAATTACCAAAAGACGCGAAGAAATTTGCACGAACAGGAATTGCTCGGTAACTAGTGACCCTCCTTAATAGGAGGTTAATTTCTAAACATTGCCAAATAAACAGATAAAATCGATGTATTATTTTAAGATAACTTTCAGTGTTTTGTACAATTTTGTGCAAATATTTTGAAGATATTTCTTAAAGAACTTTTATTAAAAATACCTTAAATTTGTTACGCGTCGATTTTAGACATTTTTTTTTCATTGGGTAATTAAAAAAAGATATTGCGAAAATTGCAAAATGGTACAAGATTTCGATTCAGTTTTTTATTAGGAATAACACTGTATAATTAATGGGTGTTATTTCAAAAACACTCTGTAGTACTACAGCAAGATACTTCACAAATTGCAACTTTAATTTTAACGACAAATTGCTTACATTTAAAAATAAATTTGTTAATTTTTTTTTCATTTTTGTTACGTATGTCTATTAGTAAGAATATTTTATTAAATATATTCAAAGGCTAAATCATTATAAAACTAAAAAAATATATTTAATTTTTCGAAAAAATGTAAAATTTTTTGTTTATATTTATTATAGTTATTATTTGCCTCTACGGAAGCCAGATAATCAAGGAAGATTAGTTTTTATTGTGCACGGCACACGACATGATCCGAGAATACACAAAATATCAGATATTTATAAGGTAAAAATAAATATAATGTAACAGTTCGAACAAATATCATATTTTCAATTTGCACTGTTTTATGACGGACGATTTTTTTAGGTCGGCATGATAGCAACAGAAGTAGCGATGAAGTGTTATCCTGCAGCATCCGTGTATGGCTATATAATATTTATAGATGTATCTAATCCAACTTTACAACATCTTACTCAACTCCGACCCTACGTATTAATGAATTTTGTCCACGCATGGCAGAATTGCTATCCAGCGAGGGTCCAGTCAATTAACATATTCAATGCACCGGTATTCTTCGATGTTGTTGTGAAAATTTTTAAATCTTTCATGACGGAAAAGTTGAAAAGCAGATTTCACGTCTACTCACACAGAACGATGCAGAACTGTTTCAAGGATATTCCAACTAACATCTTGCCTGTTGAGTATGGCGGCACTGATGGTACAATTAAAGAATTAACAGGTAATTGCAGTAAATTAGAATTTAATGAATGCATTTAATAAATAAAGGATTGTTCAACAGCATTCATCAAAAACAAAATTACAAGTACATGCTTAAGAAATGTTAATTAAAAGTTGTTAATAATTTCGTATAATTCTAAAACGTGTAATAGATATAAATTAACTTTAGCATATAATTCAATTTACATAAAATAAACACCTTTTTGCAGAATATTGGAAGAAATTGATCGAAGAGAATCGCGACTGGCTTGTGAATAAAGAGAAAGACAAAATTATCATTTCGAAATAGTAGATTTTGTATCGATAGAGAATATTTGTTCTTAGTACACGCTTCAATATTATACATTTATTATCATTATTCATTATATAAGTCACACTTTATCTTTAGCGATATAAAAGAGAATATAACCATATTTCTTTCTTCCTTTTGTTACACAAAGAGAACTAATCAATGATGTTATACGAAAAAGATAAATTATAAAACTTTAAGAAAAAATAGTAAGTATAGTTTATATTACGTTTTTGAACAATTATGTTTGTCATGTATTTTTAAATTATCTGCTTTTCACGTATATATCGATATATGGCTATATACGTAGTAGGTATACTATAGTAGATACTATATACTAGTACATAAAATAATGTAACTATATAAGTATATCTTTATGAAAAATTATATTTGTATATATTTTGCAGGGTTGGAAAAGTTACTTTGTAAAAATACAGTTACAGTGTTTTCTTTCAAAAGTAACTAGTAATATATTTCCAAGTTACTGAGACTAAAAATTAACTCACTACAGTTACTAAAAAGTAACTTTTCAATTATTGTACCTTTTAGTTACTTTTCTGTTATCATGATAAAACAATATGAGTGACATCGATATCAATAGGGCTATTAAAGAAAAAAATAATTTACATTTGCAATTTACTAACCAATCAAAAAATACTTCGAAGCATTTGTTGTGGACCGTATCCTTAATCATATATAGTTACTAGTTATTGGAAGAAATGTAATTAAGTTAAGTTACTGAAAAAAAATAACTGCAACTGTAACTTAGTTACAAGTAACTAATTATTTCTCAATCCTGATATTTAGTTTAAAAGACAGGTACGCTGCGTAATGTAAAAATTTTAGCAATTAAGCTTTTGTCATTATTGTTTGTACATCTTTTGGACTAAGAATAGATAGCAATTATTGTGTACATAGATTTGTCACGGCAGGCTTCTAAATTATCATTATTTACTGTAAGCAGCGCAATTATTACTGATAAAAATGTGCTATAGACATCGTGACGCATTGTAAGTTGTAATGCCTCTCCTTGTCCGTCCTTTGATTAATTGTATTTGTTCAAAAGATACACTACCAGCGAACAATGTTAATTACGATAGCAATTTGTTAAAAATTGCGAAGATCAATTAATTTCCAAACAAAGGTAAAGGTGCCTTTTTGAATCGAGCGTCGAGCGTCAGCATTAGAGAAAATGCAGCCTTAGAGTCGCTAATCGTAATTCAATTTTTGTACAAATATATTCACGTAAACATTGCATGAATTACATCTCAAATATCGATAATATGAAAACTCTGATTAAAGACTACGTAAATATGCGCGTATTATTAACGGATCGCTTATATGTATAGACTAAATCAAATATAGAGAAATTTTTTCAGACGCAACTTCTGCGCTTATTCAATGAAATTATCGTAACAATAACCATGTCATTAAGTAGATAAAATGCAATGTTTATCTCTTTACGTGTTAAAACATATTGCGAGCAATTTCTCTCAAGTTATGGAATTACAGAGAGATAAGGTTCATTTACTACCGCTAGTAATGCAAGCAGACCTTAATGATTATTTCTATAATGCGCCGTCTCAATATATTTATATAAATTAAAAGTAACTCATCATTTTTTATGTTTATTTTATGAAAATGTCATTTAAATATTATAATATCATATTTAATTGCTTTAGTACATACAAAACAGTAAAAATATTATATTTGCTTGTGCTTTCACAAGATGCAGTTTTGCTCCACTTCTATTTAGAAAAGAATGGTGCTTATATATAATATGTACACCAGTGACATTCTTAACTTTTTTATAATTATTTTGTAACTAAATGAAACTTATCAAATATTTTATATAGTTGTATTCATATTTACATCAGTGCTGGGATTTAGTTGCACATTTCGGCTGAATGAATACGAAAAAGATTTCAGCTTGGTTCCTGCCCCTTACTTCACCATCTCGCGCGTAGCCGATTACCAGGGATGGTGAAATAAGGAATCAAACTAAAAATGAGCAACTAAATCACAGTACTGATACTACTAATTTATATGATAGTTTTACTTTAAAATAAAAATTTATAATAAGGTAGCTGAGCTGAATAAGACCCACCTAATTTATTTCATTTTAAAAAAATTTTATTTATAATATATTGAATAAATAAGGGAATACTGAAATAAACTAAGTGAGAATCAAATCTTTATTTCATTCATTCTCAAAAGAAAAATATATTATTTATGTAGAATATATATATAAATAAACGAAAAAAAGTTTTTGTTAAACTCTGACATTGAGCCTTATTACTATGCATATGAATATAAAAGACACAAATCAAAAATAAATTGAAAGTAAATTAAAAGAAAGTATTACAAACATTATTTTTTTAAATCAGTTTTAAAATGATTATTAATCATAAAAATGATATTCTTTAGGATTTACTCTATCCTCAAATATTACAATTATCTTTAATTTTATTTGTAATTAACTCTTTAATCTTTAGAAATTTCTAACAATTTGAATGCAATTTTGGCTTCTTAAAAGATAGCAGCGTTGAAAGTCGTTATTCTTTACGGCGTAAACTCCACACATAACAAACAAATAATTAGCTATAATAATAATTATATAAATGGGCCTTATTTAATAAGTACATTTGTTTAAAAAAAATACTAATACTTATTTCAAAAAATTGATTCATTAGTCATTTTCCATAGTTAGGAAGTTGAATAATATTATAATAAATTATGAAACATTGTGTACTGGTAAATTTTGCAGCGGATTGTTATAAAAATGGCTCATACACATAAGTTTTTTTTGTATTAAACAAACGTGTTGCTACCGATTCCAATTCTTTAATCTCTTTTTATCTACTTCCTGTGACATATCTTTTATTTAGTGCTGGGCCTTATTCGACTCAGATATCTTACATAATGTTCTTATACCTTTTATTTTAAGTTAATTACAATTTTGAAAAGTGCAATAATTAATTAAGATAATTATTCTAATTACTCTAGCTAATAGCGCTTTGTTCTAATCTTTTACCGAGAGAGTTAAAAAGAAAATAAATTATTTCTCTTTCTCTTTCATCCTTTCGAAGATGAGTACCACTGGACTCTAATAATACTCGAACGTGCTTGTTATGATTCATAGCAGCAGAGAGTCAGCAAATTATAGGATGGTTAAAAAGAGACAGATAGCCTACATCGCCAAGCTACGAAGAATTGTTGCAGAATGATTAGACAGAGATAGGTGGCTCTTTATCATTATACTATCTTATTCTCATTTTTTACTTATGAACGTAACATAACAGTGTGTGTGTTCGTGCGTGCGTGCGTGCGTGTGTGTGCACGTTCCTGTATTATTCGAGTTCAGTGATGAATATTAAATATTCATTAAGTTAATCAATCTGAATCTATCATTATGTACTGCAGATGGCGCAATATCTGATTATTAAAGCTGATTTGTCAAGGCAATTATTCCAAAGAGCACGTAGATTCCAAAGAGCACATACTTGTGCATCAAATTGTCTGCAGATCGCGCTTATCATTGATCGTGCATCGCGCGTTGCGTTCGAGTTTTCATAACTAGCACATGCGAGTCTCTGCGTGGACGAGGTTTCACATTCACTATCATTGCGATGGCGAGTAACTACAGCGACAGCGTCGTGCATCACACTAGGCAAGAACTGACAAGTGACGATAAAAAATATGCAGCGGTACATTTGAATGAAACTGACGAGATGAGAAAGAACGCCATTGCGGAGATCAAACGCTGGATCGAAGAGTGCGACGATTTGCGCGTACAAATCAGTAAAAATGATAGAGGTAATGATTATGCATTGAAATATTTCGCTTGGGTTTTTTAATTATAATTTATTAATTTAAAAATAAAATTAGGGATGCACCGGATCGTAAAATTATCAGATATCCGAAAAGGATAAACATCAGATATCTGATTAGGTAATTTTTCAAGTCGGACATCCGATATTTTTCATCTGACCGGAACAATGTTTAAAAAAAAGCTGAGCAAAGAAAGAAAAAAAGAGCAAAAAAGAAAAGGGATTGTAAAGAAAAAATAGTGATAATGATTATGATTTTAATGTTATTGTTCAAGTTTGATTATCAACAGAGATGATAACTGTAGAGAAAAAAATTGTAATTTTGCAGCAATATATAAGATATTATAGCATGAGTATGCATACTTATTTATAGAACATTTATGTAATAAAAAATCAATGGTTATTAAAATATTTATATCAATAATCGTAAATTTATATCAATTGTCGATTATGTAAGCATTCTTCAATTACCTCCGGGCTCTCAGAGTCCTTTTTGTATAGACGAAAATTTGCCCAAGATTGACGGTCTTTAATAATATCTCGTCGGTGGTATGATATATTATTTTATCCTTCTTTAGTATTTGATGAGCAACAAGAACAAATGATGCATCAAGCATCATTTCATGTGTAATTCAAAACACGCTCTATATTTTATTTCTGTTTTATCTAATTAATAATAAAAATAGAATGACACGCTAGCACTGATAGTGCTAGCTATCGCTCCCCGAATGCAGCCTTAGCTAGAGTTCTTGCGCAATTTTTCTTTTTTTTTATCTCTCCAACATGAAAAGAAAGACGAATTGTGTACGAAGTTCAGCTGAAAAGAATAGAAGTGTGCATCAATGACTCAAACTTTCAATATAAAATTTTAACTAGATATATTCCTAGATACTAATGATATTCAACTATTCAGTCGAATAGTAAAAAAGTGCCAGACAATACCAGATACTGGATATTTTTCGGGTATCCGGTGCATTTCTAATAAAATAAAAATAAAATTACCTTCAACGGTGCCGAAGTTATACCTAATACTTAGTTTATTGAATAGTTTAAAGAATATAATTGATTTTTAATATCTTTAATTATATAATCAAGGAAGCAAGAAAAAATTTCCATATCTCTCTGTCATTCTAGTAATTAAAATATGTTTTTAAATATAGATGATCATACGTAAAATGTTAAATAAATTACTTTATTTAAATATTATGTAAAGATCAATTAAAGTAAGAAAATTCTAATACAAATAAGACCACGTCTTAGATTTGAGTTACAATTAACCATTATGAATATAATATATGTAATTAACGTTGCATTATTATGCAACAGTTAGATTTACTATTTCAACACTGTTCTTAAACTTTTTATGCGTTAATTACATTAAAGTTTTATTAGTCATTATAAATAACAATAAGATATTTAAATTTCTAATTTATACTTTTATACACTTGGATTGCTATACATATAAAGTTTAGCAATTTTTATTGTACATATAAACGTGCCATTTTAGACAAAAGATGTGAAATATATTATCTGTGCGGATTAACTTGGATTCGAGCAGAATAAAATACGATTATGCAACACATTTTTTTTTTTAAAGTGATCTATAATAATTTATAATTAAAATGCTTGTAAGTATTAATTTCCTAACAATAGCGTTTTCTTCATATATAGTATAATAAAATCTCTCTTTAATATTTTCTGATATTAAACAGATATTAAAAATTTTTGTTCCTAAAATACTACTCTATGAACGTATTTATAATACATAATAATAGACTTATTGTTAATACCGCTTTAATTGTAGTTTCTTATTTGAAGCGAATTTTTAATTTGTACACAGGTGACTTCCTTATCCTGCGATTTTTGAGAGTTTGCAAATTTAATCTTGAGAAAACTAAGATCAGACTGCAAAACTATTATAAACAGCGATTTTGCTTACCAGAATGGTACATGAATAAAAATCCATTTCGACCGGAACTACAAGAACTACTTGATTTAGGGTAACGATTATTATTTCAGAACGTTAATCAAATTTTGTGAGTTTCCTAATATTTTTTCTTTATTTCCTTTAATTCTCTAGAAACGGCATCAATTTTGTCATTTAAAATAAATAATTTTTATTGATTTTGTTAAAAAATGTTTTGTAAGTGAAGAATCGATATATGTCCTACTGGGATGTATCGATGTATAGTCTTTTTGCCAGGTGGAAGTATTACATTTTAGTGTTAACAGTTAATACTATATATTTCTATTATTAGTTTTTTAAATATAATTAATTTGCTCAGATCCCGAATTTATCCCGAATTTAATGTTAAAGTGAATGTTGCAATTTACACTGAGAAAATTAATTTTATTAATTTTAGATACACAACAGAATTTTTATAATGTTATTTTAATTTTACTAATAATTTGCTTAAAAATTATAAATCAATATTTGATAAACTTTTTTTCTTTTTAAATTTTAAGAATATTTTATTAAGAACTTTTGGAAATATTTGATGCATTGTTAATATCAAAAGATATTTTGATTTTTCGAAAGTTTGAAATATTTTATTCATGTTTAGGATAGCTTTGCCTCTGCGGAAACCGGACAATCATGGAAGATTGGTTATCATCATGTATGGCACTCGGCATGACCCGAAGAAACACAGAGTTTCAGACATAGCTAAGGTAAAGTAGCATAATGCTCGAATGTTTTATGATAGATGTTGTCATGATAAATTATTTGTAATTGTCTATTATTTCTTGACGGATGATTTTTTAGATCACCATGATGGCAATAGAAATTGCGACAAAGAATTATACCGCAGCATCTGTGTATGGCTGCTCAGTGTTCATAGACGTAGCCAATCCGACTATACAACATGCTCTTCAAATGCGACCCCAAATTATAATGAATTTGGTTTACGCGTGGCAGAGTAGCTATCCTATGAGAATTCAGTCGATTAACTTTATTAACGCAGCCAAATATATCGAGATTGTTTTGAGAATTTTTAGATCTTTTATGATTGAAAAGATGAAGAATAGATTGCACGTTTACACACAAAGTGCGATGCAGAACTGTTTCAAGGATATTCCGGTTAATATTTTGCCCATCGAATTTGGAGGCACTGATGGTACACTTCAGGAATTAGCAGGTAATTACGGAATAAATGGAATGAAATGTGACTTATTAGATGTGTGATACAGGTTTTCTTACTAAGTAGAAGAAAAATAAATTTTTTCTGATTAAATTGTTCAACAACAATTATTTTAAGAGCTCACTAATAAACTATATTAGGTAATACATAATATAAAAAATTACAGAATATTGGAAGAAATTATTGGAGGAAAATCGCGACTGGCTTATGGATGATGAAAAAAATTGTTACTAATCTGAAATAGTAAATTCAGAATCAACGAAAATGTATATTCTTAGCACACACTTGGATATTTATTATTAAATAGGTTGCTCTTACTCTGTTACAAATTTTACAAAAAAAAAATCTTTTTTCTGCTTTGCTGAAAATCAGCAGAAATCATAATATTATGTTGGTGACACAACGTATTGTTTATCTGTTCTTTCGTAAAAGATGAAAACTATAAAATGGAATTAATAATAAACTACTTAATTTTAGGCAGAGTAACTAATATTTTTAATTTATGCCAAGAATACACTCTATTTATATTTTGTATTTACGATCTAATCTAGTTTATGTTTTTTATAAAAACCCATCTCTCTACATCTCTATCGTAATGTTGTGATTGTAATGGTCATAAGAAAAGAAGTTACTGTAAACATTGTTTTTTACATAAGATGCTAACGCAGCAAAACAGAATGTTAGGGTCAAATAAAACATTGTAGATATCGCTTTTTTATTAGAAGAATAATGAAAAAAATGTTACCGAAAATGATGGGTTCAGCCTATTAATCGACCTCATCAATCAATGCTCGCGAATTTTACTAACCTCATTTTCATTACCTAACATATCGTTAGATAAGCATCGTAAGAGTCAATTCTTGCGACGAGCTTACGATAATTGTTACGAGCATTACAATCATTGTAAGGAGCTTACGATAGACATTATAATGCAGATGGGCTTTTATACATTTCTGCATATATTATTCAGCTCAGGATCAACAAAAATGTATGTTTTTAGCACATGGATGTTTAATTACTTATTAATTTGTTTATTAATTTGTATAATTTACTTAAATCAATGTAAATTTATTATATGTTAAAAAAGTGATTGAATGTCGCATAAATTAATGAAGTACAAGATGATAATTTCAGAGCACTAGATTCGAAATAAATCACAACAGAATTAATCCGCATATAAATTACATAAAGCAATAATATAGGACAAGGAGTAAAAAAGAAAAACAATTTATATTGTGATATATCGACGCAATAATAACATTTTTATGAAAAGATACATGTGCATATATTATATAAGAGTCCCATTTATGTATATAAATAAAATACAATACACTTTTTTTGCACTTTGTTGTCAAGTTTTTCTTTTTGCGTCGCACATTTTCGGTAATGTTTTATTTTTTTACTAATTATAAATGTCCAATGGCATATACAATTTTTCTCTGACAACAATGGTCCACTTCCATGTTAGAATTGCATTTTACGCATGATCACAATAATATATAATTTATTTATATATAAAAATATTTAATATTATTATATCAAGAATTCTTTATGTATTGCAGCATACATATATGTAAAACTGCGTTGATGTTTTCTTGGAATGATTACATTATTTATAATTTTTATTTATACACCACTGAATGACTACTATATGTGGCAGATAATTTTTGTTATATAATGTTACAGTTTGTAGTTCATGAGCTGATATCAGGTCATTATAAATTATAATGAATGATAACAATTTTCAATATGATGTTGTAATATATTCTTACTTGTTACAAATTGTTATATATACATATATATACATATATGATTTATAATAAGTAATTTGTAACAAATAAGAATATATAAAAACGCATGTAAAAAATATATATATGTATAATACAAGGTTTAATAAAGAAATAAGCGGACTTTTTGAATTACTCGCAATAGAATGTCTTAGCGACGTGCGGTTGCAGCACTACAATCTTCCGAGTAACTGGCTTTTTAAAATTGTTTACGTCTTGTTTAGTTTCAGAGTTATATATTGCTATTTGAGTGCAACGTATTTTAGTGTTCGTGGCGATTTTTGCCTCGAAATGAATTTTTGCAATTTCTGCCCTCAAGGTCAAACAATTAACTATCAGTACTATGATGGCGTTTTGAAAAGATTGCGCAAAAAAATTTGCAAAAAGATTATAATTATGACGAGACAACTCATGGTTCCTTCACCATAACAATGCGCCTGCCCACTCAGTCTTGTCAATTCGCAAGTTTTGTGCTAAAAAATCAGATGATTGTCCTCCCTCAGCCTTCGTAGACCTTGCTCCCTACGACTTTTTCTTGTTCCCAAAATTAAAAGTTTTTAAAATAAAAATTCAGTTTAAGACGAAAATCATCACGAACACTAAAACACGTTGCACTCAAATAGCAATAACTCTGAAACTAAATGAAATGTAAACAATTTTAAAAAAGCCAGTTACTCGGAAGATTATAACGATTGTAGTGCTGTAAACCGCACGGTAACGCTAGAACGCTCCATTGCCGAGTAATTCAAAAAGTTCGCTTATTTTTTTATCAAATCTCGTATATATTTTTAATTATATATATA